TTGTTGAACTCAATGATCTGGAAATTTGTAGTGTACCAATTGTTTTCTTTTTCCTCAGCTTTTTATCAGGTTCTCCTGTCCCCATCTTCTCTGTAGTCCTAAAATACCCAATTTTGAAATGGAAGTACAAATGTCAAACATAAAGAGTGGACAATAGATCACCTAAAATTTGTTTCATAAAACAAAATGAAAAAAAAAATTCTTGATGGAAAAATTGTTGATTTTTTCTGTCTTTATTTAATTATATGAAAGGACAAGTAATCCAAAAATAACGGAAAGTAATTTGATTATGTTACTTTAAAACAGTAATCCATTAGATTAGGTTACAATTACATATTTATCAGGTTATCAGTAGTCTGTAACAAAATACATTTTTAAAGTAACCCTCCCAACCCCATTAATCCCTTACATTTACCACTTTTTCTACAACAAAATTGTGTTTATCTAGAAATGTTTCTATCAAGTAAATTCTGTGCATCACTTTTTCGGTATACAGATCTGCCATGTATTAACTCATTGTCTCGAAATGATCTCAAAATCCAACTTTTTAATCTATTTGAAACTAATAAAATATCAAAGTCTGATTTTTGGCTGAAGAAGCTGGTGTAAAGCACATCTGAGTTATTCAAGACCTCACCCACAAGGCTTTAATTCAGCCACACTTCGTGTTTTGTTAGAAAACAGATACGTTGTATATTACATCTCAATCACATCTCAATCACAACTTAATCGCTTAAAAAAAGTTTCATTGTAAAATGATCAGCGGTAATTTTTAATTATAAGTAGTGACCCATGAGCATTTTATTACATTAAAGGGGAATTCCAGTGATGGCTAATGTAAACAAGGTCAGAGTGGTTTGGTGTGAAATGCTCCATTGTAGAGAAACTTGACAAGTCAGAATTGTTCCCAGTTTAATGTCTTTAAAAGCTCCCTCACAGAAAGTTTTTACATGAAATGGTTATAAATATGCTACCTGAAATCTGACACATTGTTTTATTATAAAGTTTTCGCTTAAAACGTAATCCATTTGGTGGAAAATTCAGATATCAGATATAATTTAATTAATAAATTATTATTAATAATAATAATAATAATAGTTAATAAAATTCAGATGTAATTTAACACCTTTATAAGAGAAGTTTCAGTACAGTGGAGGGGTTGGAAACCAGACTGAAATTGAACAAAATAACCAATTACATTAGGAAAATTGCTCATTTGTTGGAAAACTTTCTTTTTGCCTAATAGAAGTCAGAAATTAACTATTTGCTGCAGAGTTAAGAAATACACTTAAATACGTTAAAAAATACATTTTTTACAGTTTTTGTGGAATTACTACTAATATTGATGCCTAATACTGATTGTGACCTAATAATCAGTATTCTAGGTGTTGCAGAGGTGGCATAGTTTCATTATTTGACTGTGTGGTGTTAACGTCAATCCAATAGTTTTGATTTTTATATGAAAAAACAAAAATTCATAACATTTCTCAGTGGAAAGGAGCTCTGGTGCTGTCTGTTTTGGGGGGTCGAAACCATATCAACCATATCAAATAGAGTATGGGAGTTCCTGTTAATAATCATGCAGATATGAAAATGTCTAGCCATGCATAACTCAAAGTTAAAAGTAGAAAGTCTTTGTTTTTATATGTCATAGTGGATTTGAAATTTTGTTTATTTCCATTACGTTCAGCATTCCTCTTTCCAGCATTCTCTTTTGAGACATTTTACCATCATGGGGTTTCTCCATTGTGCTTTCTGTTTGCCCAAAGTTTTCTTCCCTTTTACTGGTGCCAAAACATCCATAACATTAAGAATTTCCAAGTTAGAACTTTTCATAAGGACATCAACTGACTCTGCACTTATGGTTGGTGACACAGAAAGGCCTGAATAAAATAGGCATGCTTTTACAAACATTTTAACAGGAATAGAGCTTTTTAAACATCCAGAAAAAATCAGCAATTAAAAAAATAGAAATGATCAGAAAGGGCAGAATCCTTCACCATAACAGCAGAAATGTTAAGATCTTTAGAAACAACCAAATCCAAAATGTGGCCTCGAGTGTGCATAGGCTCTTTCACTTGCTGAGAGAGACCCAAGGTGTCAAGTAAGGCAAAAAGTTATTTGGCATTCTTGTCCATGATTTTATATATGTGGTGTTAAAGTCGCTGGTTCTGACAAAGTTGTAATCAATGGAGATAACAGACAAAAGTTTTGACAGTTATTTTGGGGATCTGTAAATGATTAAAACTAAATTTTCTCAGAACACCCTTGAATATGAAGCACAATGGTTTTCAAAAGAAATAAAGCCAAATAAAGTGAAATCTGCACTGGAACACATCTTTAAATAAAGTAGCTACTTCTCCTCCTTTATTACTAGTTCAACACATATTCATAAAACTTTTGTAGGGGCTGTCTCATTGAGAAGAGTAGCACTGCTGCGAACAATGCATCAGTTAAAAAAAAAAATCTATCTGCAAGATATTATAATGTCATTAACTAAAAAAAAATATATGTTGGCCAGAGATCTGATATTATGGTTTAGAGATAATAGGAGCCCTTGGGGCAGTCTGAAGTTATCATGATACAGGAAACAGATTGGACTGGTTTACTGCAAAAAGTAAAGGCACTACTGTCCTTCTATTTCTTAATTAACACAGGTATAAAGAACATTACAGGCATCCTGGGCCCCTGCTTAGTCTCACCTAGCCAATGCAGGAGAAATAGCTCAATAGCTCGGGGAGCTGACATAGGATGAGCGGCTCGGGGGGACAGCACTGGAGCTGCACCAAGGACTGGTACTGGAACTGCTTGGAGAGCCGGTCAGAAATGTTCTTAAGGGCTTTTCTCTTTTTCCTCAAGCAGAGGGTTTAAAGCAAACCGCAATCGGTCTAAGAGCATGAAAAGTGAGTGAGGAGCAAAGTCTTGAAAAGACATAGGTCACCCACACCAAGGCAGGTCCTTGCAGCAGATATGCTACAAAAGTAACGTTGGCCTCCACAGAGTGGAACAACCCACTGTAATTGACTAATAAATAGGACTGATAGTCACCCAACTCCCAACACCTCTCTGGTACTCCGTCAGTTTTCTTAGGAAAGATGGGCAGTGAGGAACCGGGCTTGGTGATGGCCATCACGGGCATGCTACTCACAACATCTTTTGAGAAATGCAGCCTGCCTCACTTCATCACAATAATGATTATGCACATGATATGCACAGTGATAGATTATTTATTATGTTGTAGTTTTTATTTTTTTTATAATGTAACAAATACTTTATCATTTTTCCCCTCCTTGCCATTATCATTCTTCTCCATCTCCTCTAGTGTCTTGACTGCAGCTGAATTTAGGATGAGTGCATTTAATTTGTGTTCAGTGTGTTGCTTATGGCTGATTTTGATGGTGAATATTTTAAAAAGTATGCTTGATTAATTAGCACATTATTATTCTTGTACTGTCTCAAATGTATGTATACATCTCTAACATATAAATCACTAAAGACTGTAAAATGTCTGTAAATGTTTCATACCAGTATCTTCCAAAATAATATTCAATTTCACAGATTCCTTCCTGCCTTTCTTTGCTGAGTAAATTTTATACTACAGAGAGAACTTTATAATACTCCCCCAGCTTGGGACAGATTATAGGGCAATATGTTTTTTACCTACAGGAATCTTGCACAATCACTTATTAATTTTAAATGTAAACACAGATTATGTAGAATGTCTTTTTGAATGGAAACAGTCTGAAAGTGTTTGCCATTAAGAAATAGTTGGTGCAACTGCATATGCTGTCTTCGGATGACATTAGTCCATGTTAAATAAATGGTTTATCAGCTGTCTTTGAATAAAAAAGCAACATAACTCCAGACAAAAAAAGTCCAGATGTCTGTAGTAAAACTCTTGAGCTGTCAGTATTGTTGTAAATTTCTGTTAATGGTGAAGTCAACTTTATAAATGTAAGACAATATTAAAGATTACATATCACATATTAGTGCATGGTATCTTTTGTGATTGCTCATTTGACAGTTCTTTAGGACTTCCTGCCCATTCTCATATATCTCTGTTTTGGCTGGAAAATTTGAACCACTTGATGATTATGTTTTTTGTTAGTTTTTTGTTGTTGTTTTTTTTACCCAATTTTTCTCCCCAAATTTAGTCGTCTCCAATTCCACCCGCTAGTTAAGACTCCCCCAATCACACGATACCTTCAACGCTAGGAGGGCGAAGGCTAACACAGGCTTCCTCACGCAGAATCATTGGACAGCTGAACGCGCTCGGAGGAAAGCGCCAACCGCAAGATTTGTTACGTCAGCTAACAGACGCCTGCGCTGACCAGCATCGCGCTGAGTGATGGCGGGGAGAGGGGCAGCCATCCCACCCACCGAATTGTGCTCTCGGGCTGTAGCAACACCAGGGATCGAACTCGCGATCTCCTGATGATAGGGCCAACGCTTAGACGGTTGCGCCACTCGGGAGCCGCATGTTGTAGTTTTAAGGACAGTCTTCTCAGACAGATCAAACTGAATTTCTTACCACCACTGGAAAAGCAAACTTTCATGTTTTTCTTACTTCAACAAACTTAAATCAGTTTAGGAAGCACTTGATAACTGAAGCCTTTCATTCCAAAATGCTATAAATCCATGTGTAACAATATGAGATATACTGATCTTTGGAAAAGAATAACAGCTATAACAGAAAACACGTTTTTATTCGTCTCATAATGTGATATTAATCAAAAATAACATGTAAAACCCAACAACATATATGATGGAAAAAAAAATTCTTGAAAATAATCTATAATGTGTTTTGGAACAAAACCCTTCAATTACTTGCAGTGCATAGGTCTCCAAAACTGGGACTGAGGGTCACTATACTACATTAAAAAATAAATAAATAAATTCCAGGCAGTTGAAGACAACATTTGATATTGTGACAATCACTGAAGCTGACAGAACTTTCCCCAAAATTGGTGATTGATGATCATACCACTAGACAAACTGGTTCACTTTATGTTCACAGTGGTGTGGAACTTTCTTGAGTGGTGGAAAAAGTAGTATGTGAACAAGGGTCGCACAGCCTCATCTCTCAGCCCATAGATGATTGGGCTCAGGCAGCGGGGCAAAATCAGGACAAATATGTAGTTCAGATAGCGCAGGTGAAGAATGATAAAGTTGCTACTACTTGTCATTATAAGTGTGCGCTCTAGTGTGCCATACAGGAAAGAGGTGAGACACAGGCCCAACTGAATGAGGTGCAGCAGCACAGTCCTGTGGGCTTTCTTAGCAGAGTCTTTATTGGAGGATACAGACCTGGCTACGATCATAATGCTGATGTATGTGAAGATGATGATGACTGTTACTAATACAAAGTGAAACACGTTAAAGCCATTGTACACATCAAGCTGCCATGGTTTTATGAAGATCTGCTCACGAGCACAATAAATCTGCATGTAGAAGAAGTTAGGATCCATCACTGCTGCAAAAAAAATGTCAGTCAAAATGTTCACAGAGCCAAAAAACCAAATAAAGCAAATAACAATGTAAGTCCTTTTCTGAGTGGCTATTTCAGCGTGTCTTAGAGGAAAACATACGGCCACATAACGCTCCATTGACATCACAGCCAGGTTAAAAGGTGCGTTGCGAAATGTTGCAACAGACAGAAAGATGAGGAGCGAACAGACGGCTTTAGTGATCTTAAAGAAGACCAGGGCAAATATACATATTACAGAGGTGAGAATGAGTTGAACAGAGTCATTGAAAAGCATGTGGGCAAACAGAATGTAGCGTGGAGATTCTTTAAAAATACGCTTGCTCCTAAGAACATGGAGCATGACACAGTTTACATATACAGATAACAGAGTGATCAGTATTACTACCATCAACTTTGCAATATTCCCTGCATCCAGTTCTGCTTTGATGACATACTGATCTATAAAAGCATCTGCAGTGCTTATATTAGTGCCTGCCATTGATTACAGAAGCTCAGAAGAACAATACATACCACTGTACATAAAGGAATCTTGTGAAGTCAGCTCGCACAAAAACTAATAACCAAGAGAAACATAAAGAAAAAACATTTAGAACAACAAATCAATCATCCCGATAAGTTAAAGCAGCTGCACCATGTACAGTCTTCACGCTCTGAGCAGTGATAGGTTTCTGTCTTTTAAATTGTGCAGTGACATCACAACACCAGAGAGGCAGGGCAGGCAGTGATGACCTGTACATGCTCTCTCTCTTTCTTATTCACTGTCGCTTACAAACATGCTTTTTCTCTCACTGTCATTTCTTTCTGTCTCCAACTGTCTTTCTCTGTTAAACACACAGACCTCCTTTCTAACTTATCTCTCTCACTCTCTTACACATTCCTACGGCCCTGCAAATAAACCTGCGCAAAGTTTTTTTCTACAACTCTGTTCCCAAGAAAGTTGTGACACTGTGTAACATGTAAAAAAAAACAGAATGCAATGATATGCAAATCATTTAAACCTTATATAAAACTGAAAACAGTACAAAGACAACATGTCAAATGTTGAAAGCTGGGTGGTCTTTAGCCCGAAAGACGCAGTGTCCATAATTTCCTAAAAGAATTTCAAATTTTGATTATTTGGACCACAGAAGACTTTTCCACTTCACCTTAGTCCATCTTACATGAGCTTGGGCCCAGATAGGGTGGTGTATTTCTGTATCCTGTTTCTATATGGTTTCTTCTTTGCATGATAGAGTTTTAACTTGCATTTGTGAATGCAGTGATGAACTGTGTTCACAGACAGTGGTTTTCAGAAGTGTTTCTGAGCTCATGGAGTGATTTCCACTACAGAATCGTGCCTGTTTTTAATGTAGTGCCACCTGAGGGCCCAAAGATCACAGCCATCTAATGCTGGTTTTTGGCTTTGTCCCTTGCATACAGAGGTTTCTCCAGATTCTCTGAATCTTTTAATGTTATTATGTACCATAGATGATGAAAAGCAAGTTCTTTGCTATTTTACATTGAGAAACGTTATCCTTGAATTGCACTATTTGCTTGTGCAGTCTTTCACAGAGTGGTGAACCCCTCCTCATCTTTACTTCTGAAACTCTCAGCGTCTCAGAGATGCTCTTTTTATACCCAGTCATGTTACTGACCTGTTGCTAATTAACCACCAGGTGTTTTTTTAAGCATTGCACAACTTTACTAGTCTTTTGTTGCTCCTGTCCCAACTTTTTGGAACATGTTGTTGGCATCAAATTCAAAATGGACATATATATTTTGCTCGCATCAAATTCAAAAAATAATAAAATTTTCAGTTTTCATTTGCATTACTTGGGTGGTGGATCATTCTCAGCACTGCGATGACACTGGCGTGCGGTGGTGTGTTAGTGTGTGTTGAGCTGGTATGAGTTTTTAAACACCTTAGTGTCACTGCTGGACTGAGAACAGTCCACAAAGCAAAAATATCCAGCCAACAGTGTGAGTTCAACACTGAGCATAGGCAGCTGAGCAATGGAACAAGTGGAGCATGCACAACCCCCACTTTTATTAGACAGAGAGCGAACACACACATTTGCTTCCCTACTTTTTATTAAAATAAAAATAGTTTGTTATCATAAAATTACAACTAAGTCCTTATGAAAAGTGACATGACAAGTGGAGCTTATACATCTTTCAACTCAGTCCGTGGCGGAACGAGTGAAATTTGCTAAATCCATGCCCTGCCATAGCATATAATGATCTTTTTAGGTGGAATGCACTCAATGCTCCCTCACTGTCCCTCAAAACTATTTTTTTTCTTCAATAAGATCAAACAGTGATTGGAATATTATGACACAACTCTTTTTAAATTTTGGTGATGCTCTATTTGGCCCGGTTTTTACGTGAGGCAAAATTTCACATAAATAGCAGTCTGGGCATGTTGGTTTTAAGGCCAGTACATCTTCAAAAAACAGAAAGTGAAAAACAAATCTGAGCTTGACTGAATAAATGGCCAGAGTTTTTGGTAAATCTGTATTAGACTACATTTCCAGTATCACAGCCTAGTGCTGTACTAAATATAAATCCAAAACCTGCGACAAAACTGTACAGGTAAACCGTAGGCCATGGGTTGACATGTATGTTAACTAAAGCAGCTAGCCCACAGACACTTGTAACAAAACATATGCAACCACATCAATTTATTCTAAAACAACAAAACAAAAAGAAAATAGCAAAACAGTACCTGTTCAACTAGGATTAGCCAGCCACGCAACTGCTTCTTCTGGGTGGAAGCTGAGTTGTGAAAAGCAGAGATTACTGCAGGATTCAGGAGACACATTTGGCAGATAAAAATAATGTCATTTACATCAGTTAATTTGAAAACAAATCAAGATGACAGTTTGATGTTCTTCATTTGTGCTGGTAATGTTCTCTCTGTCTCTTGATTGGAGCTGCTCTGTTTTGATTGCCTTTCAGACCTGAATCTTTTAAATTTAACCAGGTTTTCTTCTAATTGGTTTATGAGCTGAAACGCATATTCATTTTACGCTGTAACACTATTAAAAATTAAAGAAGCAAAGTAAAAGTACTTCAATAGAAATGAACTCAAGTAAAATTAAAAGTGCCATGATTTAATTCTACTTAAAAAGTTTTAAGGACAGTTTTTCAGAACAGATTAAAATTAATTTCCAACCAGAACTGGAAAACCACACTCCATGTTTTTTTTTTAATGCATTTAATATTTCAACACACTTAAATCTGCTCAGGAAGTACTCAAAGAGTACTTGCAGCACATAGGCCTCCAGACCTAAGGGTCTGAGGATCCTATACTAAACTAAAACCAATTTTCAATAGTGCAGGCTGTCCAAGGAAACACTCCACATTGTGACAATCCCTTTTCTCTAACTGGCACTTCTTCCTCTATTAAACATTCAAACCTCCCTTCTTTCTATCTCTTCTTTCATCTTCTCCCGCTGATCGATAATCTTGAGGCAGGGGTGTCCAATCTTATCTGCAAAGAGCCGGTGTGGCTGCACGTTTTCACTCTAAACAAGCGGAAGCATACTTGATTCTACATGTGTAATCAGTTGGTCTTAGTCTCTAAACATTTCACCAGGTGACCTCCTCCTTTGTTGGAGTGAAAACCTGCAGCCACACCGGCCCTCTGCGGATAAGATTGGACACTCCTGTCTTAAGCGATTATAGCCATACAAAGCAATTACTTGCACATATTATGTATGTTATGCTCAAATTTATTAAAAAAAAGGCAAAAAAAGCACTGTAAAGTATTCATGGCTTGTCAGTTGGCTCAACAAGGCTGGGTAAGCGCATTCAGTTTGAATAGTCTGCTCCTTGCTGTCCATTACTCACCTTCTGCTGTGAGCGGCCACTTGTGTAACATAGGTGTGACACACACCCAGGTGGTGAGTCAAAGTAGGCAAGGACAAGTTTAAAAAAAAAACAACTGAAATGGAGCCACAAAGAGATGCTATTAGCACACAAAAATAATTGTTAGGTTTGTGGTTTGGGGGTGTCTTTCAAAATTTACTGTGGTTGCCAAAAAAGATTTGACTGGCAGATTAATAGAAAAATTGTGTCATTGATCTTGATTTGAATAGCTGGATACTATTATAGGAGATAGTTGAATGCATTGCGTGTTTGATGTCATATCACTGGTATATTAGCTCATGTGCACGTTCTGATGATCCTAAATTTGAAGGCAGGTGAACGTGCACGTAATGTCATGAAAACAAGATCTCTGTAAGTTGAGAATAGCAACTTAAGTCATTAATTAAAAACATTTTAAAAGGAGAATCAGGTTGTCCTAATTGTTCTCTTTTTGCCTGTCACTTCAATTGTTCAATGAAATCTTACTATAGCATCTAATTAGTAAAGCTAATTAAATAAATAAAAAACAGCAAGATGCTACAGTGACAGTCAAATAATTATAATAAATCATTATGGTATACTGAAGAAATTATATGCACATATTTAATTTCACTGGATGCATTTATAATCAATATATTTCTATCAACCTCCACCTCAATTTCACAGAGTAAGGAATGACTATCATAATTATGGCTAGATCCGGTTACAAATTGGGAGTTTGGGAATTGCATTATGTAATATTAGTGCAGCTCAAGCCTTGAGTTAAAAGTAAGGTCAAATGGGCCTCAACCTTTAAAATCCATTTTATTTCTTGATAACACTTTCATGAAATCACATGAAGGACAAAGAATAGATTTCATCACCTGTCACAGCTCAGCACACAACACAGGTAAAGTGCATTGTATATAACGCATAATTGAACATACACATGAATCAAAATGAATATATTCATAAATTGCAAATATACAACCACATATAAGCCCATGGTATCTTTTCTAATTGTTCACAGGACTTTCTTGCTTTTTCTGTACAATTTCATTCTGCTTTAACTTTGAAGGAGTATTCTGTAGTTTTGCAGCAGATAAATGATCGTGCTTTTTTTTTTTGTTTTTTTTAGACAGATAGAGCTTACTTCTAGATGAGAACTGGGTACCGCATGCTTCATGATTTCATGTGTTGCCTGCTTTAACACACTCAACTCATTCAGTAATTACTTGCTGTGTATAAGGCTTCCAGAATAAGGATTAAGAACTAAAAAATATTTTCAACAGTTCAGGCAGCTCAAGGTTACCTGCAAAGACATGCTTTGGCTTGCTAAATGCAAATAATTAAATAACTTGCTACTGAACAAATACTTCACGACCATTACATATAATCCAATAAAGGCCTGCATAACATAATATATTCACAGAAATAAAATGTTTTAACTACACATCCACAGTAGTGTGGAACTTTCTTGAGCAATGACAGAAGTAGTATGTGAATAAGGTTCGCACAGCCTCGTCTCTCAGCCCGTAAATGAGGGGGCTCAGGCAACGGGGCAGGATCAGGACAAATATGTAGTTCAGATAGCGCAGATGTAGAAAAAGAAAGTTGCTATTACTTGTCATTACAAGTGTTCTCTCAAGCGTGCCATACAGGAAAGAGGTGAGACACAGGCCCAGCTGAATGAGGTGCAGCAGTACAGTCCTGTGAGCTTTCTTAGCAGAGTCTTTATTGAAGGACATGGATCTGGCTGTGATCATAATGCTGATGTAGGTGAAGATGATGATGACTGTCACTGACACAAAGTAAAATGCATTGAAGCCATTGTACACATCAAGTTGCCATGGTTTCATGAAGATCTGCTCACGAGTACAATGCATCTGTACATAGAAGAAGTTAGGATCCATCATTGCTGCAAAAATTATGTCACTCAAAATGTTCACAGAGCCAAAAAACCAAATAAAGCTGATGGCAACCCAAGTCCTTTTCTGAGTGGCTATTTCAGCGTGTCTTAAAGGAAAGCATATGGCCACATAACGCTCCAGTGACATCAAAGCCAAGTTTAAAGGTGCATTGCGGAATGTTGCAGTAGAGAGAAAAACAAGGAGTGAACAGACAGCTTTGGCCAGCTTGAGGAAGGCAAAAGCCAAGAGAAACAATAAAGAAGTCAGAATGAGATTTACAGAGTCATTGAAAAGCATGTGGGCAAAGAGAATGTAGCGTGGGGATTCTTTAAAAACACGCTTACTCATAAGAGCATAGAGCATCACACAGTTTACATGTACAAATAACAGAGTTAGCACTATTGCTACCAGCAACTTTGTGATACTCCCTCCATCCAGTTCCACTTTTATAAAGGACTGAAAAATAAAAGCATCTACTGTGCTTACATTAATGCCTGCCATTCAATTTCAAGAAAAGCTAATCTAATCAACAGAGAAGACATTTGAAAGTTATAGGAGGCACTGTAAGCACTAAATGTACAATCAGAAAGAAATTGTTATATTTAAGCCCATTTATGTAAATGTGCAATGGTTTTGTGTATATCTCCCACCGATCATCCCTCATGAGTGAAACAAGTAAGAAGTGACCATTTTGAGGTCTTCAAGCTCTGTGCAACAACCAGGATTTCTGGGTCTTTTATATTCTACAGTGACATCACAGCATCCTGGGATACAGAGTGTGGGATGATGACATTAGAGCAGGGAAATGACAATCAAATTGGCCTAGACCGCCCCTCTCCTTTTGCGCATCACTTCCATGTATCTCACTGGTACTATTTTGCATATCCACAATCACAACCTGAGTTGACTTGGTTACATCAATAAAAATAATCTCTGTAGATAAAACAAAAGCAAATCATGATATTATGTGAGAAAAATTCCTGAGACTGATCACAGTATGCTCCACATTTACACAACTTTCTGTGAACAGTGCAAGGAAAAAGGTTTCCAAAAACTACACGCATTTCATGGTTAGATGATTCCATAAGGCTTCCTAGTATATCTGTTACCAATAAAGTAGTTTAGAATCCCTGAAAGGCTGTGCAGTTTTTATATTCAGTAGCATAAAATAACCTGATAAATATGAGCCTATATAGTTAGCTAATTTTAGCTCATGACTAATCTAGCTAACGTTAACTAGTTAACTAATGTTTGCTCTTTTAAATTTAAATAAGTTAGGACTAAGTAAGTAATAAGGTACTCAGTGTGATACCTTTATATAATGCTCTACAGACCTCGTTTCACTTCTTACCTTCTATGCAGACCAGAGAAAACTAGCTCCATCTGGAGTAAACCAGTTCAGTTGTCCGAACATATTTAACTGCCCAATCTCTGTCACCATGGCAACCTAAACTGGATAGGCTGTGGAAAACGCATGCTTTCTCATGAAAGCAATTTTTATATGCAGTATCAGTTGTGAAAAATTAGGAAAAAGTAATAAGATATGAATTTCTTGATATATAATTGGATTAAACATGAAATATTAAATATTATATTAAGGAGAAAACCTTTATGCAGTCAGACACACTCAATGGCTGCACGTCTTTTAACAGCACATTATCATCTTAATAATTTAACCTTGCACTTTTCACACATTTCATACTAATATTTCAAGAACTTTTATCAAGGCCTTGTATTACTTACAGAACGTTCCATTGACGGTACTGTAATACCATTTGCTCCTAACATTGGGAGAACTTTTATATAATGTTAAAACGCCATAGTTGTGGGAATGTTCCCTGTCAGCTGGGTAGGCTAGGGGCTGACACCTGTTAACTAAAGTAGTTGCCTGACATGCAGATTTTAGTTTTAATAAATAGATACACAATAAAATTATAATCATAAGTGAAATTACTGGTTACGTATATCATAGGTGAAATTAGTGGTTAGAGAGCCACATAAAGAACCACAAAATAAGTCCCCACCCCAAACATGTCCAAGAATCATTACTATTCCTTCAAAACTTCAAATACACTTGCATTTGTGATGTTTGCACATAGACTTCTTAGTGCTGCATGTGTTTTCTGTGTTTAGCTGTACTGTAGATGTTTGGTGATGCCTGATGTGAAGGGTTACACTGTCTGAGTTTTTCGCAGCATTGAGTAGTACAGGTTGGAGCTAATGTTAATGCAAACACTGTTTCAGTTAATGCCTATTAAGAACACAATATCTGGCAATGACAATGACTGCTATTTCTCTTCCTACACCCAAATCCTTTCTCACTCTGCCTTTCAAGCCTCCCACACCATGGATCCGCTGGTTACAGTCCTTCGAAGTGTACGTCGTAAAGCAGCACTACTGTTACACTGGCTGGGAGTGGAGGGACAGTGTGTGCTTAGGATATTCAGAAACACTGCCAACATCACATTCGACAGCAGCCTTCTCGGGTCCTCCTCCGCACCCCAGTCAGAGTGAAATGCAGCAGCCTGACTCCTTTGCTAACACTGTCATGCAGATGGGACAATGACAGCGTCCTCAGCTATGTTTACAACAGCCATGCAGCAAATGTGGATCAAGGTCTGACACCACAAGAGCCTAAACCTGCCCAGCTTGTGGACAGACATGCCGCAGCTGCGATAAGCTGAATTATGTATAAATCATCTATGTAACTCTGTTTCAGCTAGGTCAGATGGGCCACCAGGCTCCCCCACCCCTTCATCTGCGCCTGCAGCTGGATACCTCTGGGGAGACACATGGAGTGCCCCACCACCACTGCTTTTGGTCAACATTAACTTTCTCTTTTCTCATGCTGGGGTCTCCCTATAACCACCACACCAGACAACAACCCTCAACTGGTCTCTGCAGAATTCAGTGCCTACCTTGCTAAACAGGGCATCTTCCATATTCGCACAGCGTTTTACCACCCTGAGGCTGGCCCTCAACAGGATTCATCCTTTCCCACCACAAGTGCTTTCCTGTACAATCAGAGCCTTGGTTAACTGCCGTCAGAGACATATAAAACAGCATTTTCACCAGTCAAAACTGGACACGGTGCCAACTATTACCGTCTCAGACTGGTTTTGGGTCCAAAGCCCTCACAGGGACAACAAAATGGCCTTATACTGGCCCCTTCTTCTCCATGTCACTCATTAACTGGGCCCAGTTACCTACCTTCTCAGCATTGCACTTGGTGGCACTCTAGCCACCTCCAGAAGAAGCCAGCTCTGACACACATGATAGATGAGACACCCCAGATCACAACCTCAGCTGCCTCAGCCTTGTACCTCCCATCTCCCCACAACCTGCTCATATCCAGTCACACTTTGGTCACTTGGAGGACTTTACTTTCTTTCAGGGGGTTAGGGGTCGGGGGTGTTCACACTGGCTTATTAGTGCTGCATCCGTGTTGAAATGTGCTGGGGATGTTTGATGAAGTCTGTTGTGAAGGATGATTACAGTTGATTACACTGATTTTGCCCGGGGTTAAGCGGTAAAAGCTGGAACTAATGTGAACATGAACACGGTTGTGGTTCGTGCTTTTTAAGAACACTTTGTATACATTTCACATCCTGTAACACTGTATTGTTGCATTTTTCCTTCTGTTTTACAGTTCCCTACACCATATGCAGTTTGGTGTAGTAGAAACTTTGTGATTTGCAAATCTAAAGTGGTTATTCAGTGCATTTTGTGGTGTTTATATTTTGACAAAGATTGCCTTGTGTTTTGCAGTGCAGTGTCATATGGTCAGATTTTTTTTTACCTGTTGGGGTTTTCAAAACTATGTGTATTACAATGACAATTACAATGAGCTTTGTGTTTATCATTATGCGAAACAGGTAATGTTCTAAGAAAGCAACATAAATGGCCTTCAATATACAGCCACAAAATATCGTATCCTACAGAGGATAAAAAGAAATGGCTGGATCTCAGGACATTCTGAATCTGCTGAATTTAAGCATTCAGTTTGATTTCAAGTTAAAACCAGGGGTAAAATTTGCACTGTGCAAAGTTTATGGTTATGCTGTAAGGACTATGAATATTTTAAAGATAAAATGCTTAAGTATGGAAAGCAGGTTGTGCACTTGTACACAACCCAGAGCAAGGCATTCAGGACTGATTGGCACACCTACACACAGACTTCAGATCATTTGAGATTAACACAAACTCTCTCTCTCTCTCTCTCTCTCTCTCTCTCTCTCTCTCTCTCCCTCTCTCTCTCTCTCTCTTTCATAACACAAAGTAAAGTCTCTGGAGTGTTTATGTTATTGATGACAAGCACACAAACACGCCTTGGAATCAACTTAGTCACTAGAGACAAAGAGAAGCGTAGTATCAAGCATTGTTTGTGCCTTTTCCTCAAGTGTGAAGGTAATTAACATGCCTTTTAGTGTAGCAGCCCTTGTGGGGATTGTTGTCACCCTTGGTTGTCACATGAGGCATGCCTGTCTCTGTTATGTTGAGGACACCTCTCCAACAGTAGGCCTAAAGATACATCCCGTTCTTTTACTGTAAAGACTGAGCACATTAGAAGTGCACAGGCTACTGTACATTTGCCAGAACTGTGCTTTCGCTGATAAAGACTGAAGAGCCACTAGCTTCATAGAAAAAGAATATGCTGTTTGTGACAGTCCACTTTGCTTTGTACATCATAAAAACGTTGTGCTGAATAACATTGACAAATATTATGAGAGAGAAAAGTAAAAAACACAATCTCAACACACAATATTTACTAGTATTTCAGTCACAAAGCTTTCTTTAGTGTTTTCTCTTAATTGTGCTTAACCTGTGCCACCCAATTATCAATTATTATTTTGGGGTTCTGGATCTTCAGCAGTAATCAATAGTGAATATTCAAACTTTCGTCACGCAGGGGGTTGGAGTTGGGCACCGCTTAAAATCGTTCAGAAAATCAGCGTCTGACGTCTGTGTTGAAAGCACATCCAAGGCTTCATCCGCTGTAAAATCCAAATTTCCAGGCTAGCTGCTTTACTCACAGAGTGCTGCAGTGCTCAATATTCAGCTTTACTCCGTCTACCAGGCTTCTTGGCATCGGGCTAGGGGCTGATAGCACAGTGTATGCACTGGTTAACCTGTGCTTTATGGAGGTAGTCTAACTCAAGGTACAAAATGTACTGTGGCGTCGCCATGCTGCACTATAGGTAGCAATTTCCAGACACGGACAGCAATTCCCAACATACCCACTTCTAATTCTGTAACTCCATTTTAAGTTACACTCCGTGACACACTATGAAGAGCAGTACTAATTAAGGAAAAGGGTCTACATGGTTTGCAAGTAGGATATTATGGATATAAGTCAACTGAAGTTGGGCAGAAAGAGATCTACTTTTTTTCAGTTTTAACTTCTGTATTTAACAGAGCTGAACCAAAGCACCCACTTAAGGGGAACTTATGAATTACACGCTAAAGAATACAAAAGATGCAAAGTTTTTTTCACAACAGTT